GGCCAGCCAGGCCCCAAGAAGGTGTCAGGGAAGGAAGGTAAACCTCGCAAATTAGCGATTGTTTCCCTGAATGCGTGATCGGCTAAATCTTGGGACTGGGAAAGTTTTTTTCTGTGCTCTTCTGAGCTCAACTTTTGGGAGCCCACGCCTTGCTTTGAAAGGGTTTGGTCTGTGAACCTAGACATCTTTCAGTCATGATTTAAGTTACTCAGAAAACTGGGGGCCCTGGAGTGAAGGGAAGAGACCAAAGGGAAAGAAATCCATGTAGCAGTCTTGTTCTGTTTGATGTGGCAGACAGCGGGCAATAATGGAAGAGTGCTGGAGATGGAGATGGAGGGTGGTTGGATTCCGCCATCCTCAGCCACGTCTGCTGTTTGGACTTGCAGACTTCAAACACAGCTGGGGGATTCCTGGAAGACAAAAGAATTCAGGGCCAGGGCTTGGATCTCAGTCAAAAATAACTTAACGTCTTCATCTCAGGCAGGCAAACAGCGGCAGCTCAGGGCTGGTTTCTCAGACGATTGGAGCTACAAGTGGGGTCAGGGTGGCACAAAGGTCAGTTTAGGCTGAAGTGGGCTGCGGAGAGAGAAGGGCCTCGGAGGGTGTGGGCCTGGCCTAGGGAGATGCCAGAATGAACCCCAAGTGAAAGAACGTCTGGAGAAAAAGCCCCATTTGCCCCCACTTCTGGGCACTGCTATTGCTTTGAGCAATAATTACAGCTCTTCGCGTTTCTTCCCCGGCTTCTCATTAGCTCAGGGTGTCCACAAACAAACTGCTCAGCCCCTATGCCCTCCTCTCCCCACTTCCAGCAGCTACTCCTGGCTTTTCCACGGCAGCCAACTGCCCCAGCTCCCAGGACCAGAACATCGGGTCCTTAAAAAAGCTCTGGGCGCAGTGGCTCATGCCTGTAATCCCAGCACTTTGGGAGGCCAAGATGGGCAGATCACGAGGTCAGGAGATCGAGACCATCCTGGCCAACACGGTGAAAACCTGCCTCTACTAAAAATACAAAAATTAGCTGGATGTGGTGGCGTGCACCTGTAGTCCCAGCTACTCAGGAGGCTGAGGCAGGAGAATTGCTTCAACCCAGGAGGCGGAGGTTGAAGTGAGCCGAGATTGCGCCACTGCACTCCAGCCTGGGGAAAGAGAGAGACTCCGTCTTACAAAAAAAAACAAAAACAAAAACAAAAACAATCAGAACTCCTTCCTCGCTTGGAGGGCACATTCGAGAGACTCAACCCCCAAAAGGCTCTTCCCTCTTCCCTCCCCCTTATCCCACTGGACTGCTATTAGCAGATGACCTCATTTTCTCCCAGGAGGACAGGGCCTGGGTCTCATCCCCTTTGTATTCTCAGCACCTCAGCTAGGGTCTGGCACATAATGGACACTCACCACGTGTGAGTTGAATGGCACTGCTGAGCTGTCGCCAACTTAATCTTCCTAAAATGCTGCTCCAGTTAGAAGCCGTCAGTGCTTCTCTATCTCCCTTTGGGCGAGGTCCAACCTCCTGAGATCAGCACTGGGGGACTCTGGTGACACAGTGCTCCTTGCCCACTGCCCACCTGGCATCCTCTCTTCGTGCTCAGCCACTTCATGGTTCCCAACACAGTCGACGGCTTTCCCATCTCTGTGTCTTTGCCACAGCGGTTCCCTCCACCTAGAAACCCTTCCACGCTCTCTACTGCAAGCTTGCCCCGTCTTGCAAGGCTCATCTCAATATCATGCTCCTGCCCTTCTAAACTGAGTTTGATGCACCCTTTCACAGCCCTTTATCCTGCTCTGAGTTGACTTCGAGTGTCTTGTTAGCAACCTTAAAAGAGGCCCTTACAAAATGAAGAGCAGGGTAGAAGTGCCAACAGGCCCAGTTCACTGTCACTTCTCATTAGACGCCAAAGGTTCTCCCAGGGTAGGGCCTGTGCACAGCCCACCTCCAGACATTCATGAGCACCTGCCCACTGCAGCTGGTCAGTGAAAGTGACACCATGCCCATTCCCTCCTCTGCCCCCAAAATGTTGTAGAACATGCCAGTGTTAGGCTGTCTCAGGTGGGAGCAGAACAAAAGGTTGTCAGGATGCCCGGCCACTCCTATCCCCTGGAGCTTTCGAGGCCTGGGCCTCAGGCCCCGTGTCCTACTGCCTGCTGGGGAGTGGGTTGCAGATTCACCTGGGGCTGAGGGGCACATGATGTTCTGATCAGCTAGGTGACATTGAGGACAACAGGTGAAGGGCGGCCTCAGGCTCATGGAGGAGGCTGGATATAACACCTTGTCCTAACAGTCTCCAAGTCCAGACACCCAACACCTCCCAGCAAGGGCCAAGGCAAGGGAAGCCACCTTCTGAAGCAAGAATCCTGGTGAGAGATCAGGAATTCCTTCTTAGGAGGCTTTTGGGAACACAGTCTGCCAAGGCAAGATAAATGCTCCCAGGGGTAGAAGGAGGAACAAGAAAGCCTTCTGGATACACTTCTGATCTTCCCTCTCCCTTTTACTCTAACCGCTGCTGGCCTCGTGACCCCTTCCTTGGATGGCATCTCTCATGTCCTTCTGCTCAGACCAACCTCCCTCCTGTCTAGATGCTATACTACAGCCAGAGGGATCTTTTCAGTATGACCCTCCTGCTCTCAATTCTTCAGTGGCTCCCCATTGCCCTTAGGTAAAGTCCAAGCTCTTTTCCCATGAAACTCACAGCCCCTCACAACCTTCCCATCCAGGCTGGGGGCCTCTTTAGATTGGGCATCGTGCTCCAGTTTCCAGCCATGCCAAACTGCTTGTCATTTGCCTCCCATATGATGCTGCTCCCCATGCCTGGCTGTGCTGTTCCCTCTACCTGGAACACCTCCTTCACCTCTTCCATGTTGCCTGGTTTTGTTATCCTTTGGGAAGTCTTGCTGGCCCCACAGGGACCCCCTCCTTTGGAGTTCTACACCCTCTGGGCTTCCCTTGAATCCAGGACTTACCCTTGTGTTCAACGTAACTGTTACCCCAATTATATTTCTGGAGGGCAGAGTTTGGGTCTTACCCACCTCTGTATTCCCAAAGCTGTATCATTGGTACATGGTAGCAGCTTAATACATGTTCAAGAACAGAACTGAGCTTGCTAAGCTCCCTTCCCCATGAAGGGATGCTAGAGTTGGATATGTCAATAAGAGCTGTCCCTGGGCTGAAGAAGAGGCAAGTCACATGGGCAGCTGGTGTCAGAGCACTCTCCGGCGCAGCTGGGCCCCCCAGCAGAGTGGCCAACCCTTTTCTGTGCCCTTCTCCTTCCAGTTCCCAGGGAACCAGGCTTCCTGGCCCACTTCTCCAGTCCCAGAGATCTAAGTAAAATGGAGCCAACGCCCACAGAGGTCATGCAAATGACAGCAAGGGGTACAGGAGGCAGCAACAGGACACCCACCCCAGGGCCCCAGGAGTCACTTGTCCTTCTGGGTTTCTCTCCACAAAGGAATTAGCCTCTCTTCTGTCCCCTGAAGCCTGTTTTCAAAATCACACCCCATGCAGACAGTTTTATTTACAAGGAAATCTTGGCAGGATCTTGACTTGTTAGTAGAGTAGGGATGGGGAGGAGGGTGGTGAGAAACAAAAATAGTTGAAATGATCACACTTTCTGAAACGGAGATGAAAATTTGTGTCTGTAGCAAACTCACCTAATTAGAACCAAGTTAATTCCCTTCTCAGTGTTTCAGGAGAGCAGTCATTGCTGGTGAGATGGTCGCAGGTCGGATCCTGGGCACAGGGTTATGTGTTTGCTTTATAAAGATGACTGCATTAATTGCAGCTCTCACTAATGGAAAGGAGCCTGTTTCGCAGAGGAAGGAAGAAGGGCAAAGACTAGTGAGTGAGTGGGTGGTGGGAAGAGGAAAGGAAGAGGAGTGGAAGGGCACAGCCTTGGTGGAGGCTGCGGATTGACTGTGAGATGCTCCTGGAGGAGCCCCTGAGCCTCTAGGAAGAGCTGGCCCTGGCCAGGCCGGCCACTGGCACCGTTTACAGCCAGAGCCTCTGCTTCTGGAGATGGTCTCTTTTGGGGGCGCTTTCCTGGAGGGAAACAGCATCGATTTTTTTCTTTAAAAGATCCCCTACTCTTTTTGGCTTCCTTTCTGATTGTTGCAGTTTCTTTTTTTTTTTGAGACGGAGATTCGCTCTTGTTACTCAGGCTGGAGTGCAATGGCGCGATCCGGGCCGCAACCTCCGCCTCCCGGGTTCAGGCAATTCCCCTGCCTCAGCCTCCTGAGTAGCTGGGATTACAGGCACGCGCCACCACGCCCAGCTAATTTTTTGTATTTTTAGTAGAGACGGGGTTTCACCATGTTGACCAGGATGGTCTTGATGTCTTGACTTCGTGATCCACCCGCCTCAGCCTCCTAAAGTGCTGGGATTACAGGCTTGAGCCACCGCACCCGGCCAGTTTCTTTACCGTTCCTCTCCCCAGCTGGGGCACTTCCCTGAGCTCACCTTTGTCCACGTGGTCAAATGAAACCTGGGCATGGTCACTTAGCTCTGGGTTAGGGAGGGCAAGATTTAGGCTTTGGGGCCCAGGACCCCCCAATGTGACTTCTCCCATTTCTAGGCCTCCCGGGACCTCCCAGAATCTGAGACCGCAGGGAATAGGATGTAAGGATGGGAGGGGGGGATCCCGTCCTTACGGAACGGCGCCCCCAATTCACTCCTAGTTAACCCTGACGTCGCCAACTTAGTGAGAACCTCGCTTCTGTCTCCATCACACATCTGCCACCTCCAAAAGATGGTTAAGCCGATGGGAGAGAGGAGCCAGGGCCCGGAGTGCAGGCCCGTGGTGACGGGGTCGGGGACCGCGCAGTCCACCTCCCCGCCCCTGGCAGCGCCGCCACTTCCTCGCCAGCTGCGCCGCAGCCCTCCCCTTCCCGGGCCGCGCCGCTCTGACCGACTGGGCCCTGGTGGCGGCGCCCGGGGTGGGGTGCGGGGCGGGGGCCGGCATTCCCCGCGAGCAGCCCCGCCCCCGCCCGCGCACCGCCCCCGAGGACTCCGCGGGGAGGAGGAGACTCGGGCGCAGAGCGGGGGCCGCGAGAAGCGGGAAGGGAACGCGTGGAGCGGCGGGGCCGCGGCCGGCCCAAGGGCGCCCTCGCCTCGGAGCCCAGCGCCGGGACCGGGGCGGAGGCGGAGGCCAGCGGGGCTGCGAGCTCGGAGAAGTTTGGCAGCGGAGGGGCCGGGCGTCCCGGGGTCGCGAGGAAGCGGCTGCGGCTGCGGCGCGGGGACTCGGGCCATGGGGGCGGGGGCGGGCGCGGAGGCGGCGCGGCGCGCGCGGAACCCCCGGAGCGGAGCGGCAGCCGCGGCGCAAAGTTAGCCCAGCGCCCCGGGACGAGCCTCGCAGCCGCCGCGGGCCCCGGACCCCGTCTCGGTCATGGGCGAACACCCCAGCCCGGGCCCCGCGGTGGCCGCTTGCGCCGAGGCGGAGCGCATCGAGGAGCTGGAACCTGAGGCCGAGGAGCGGCTGCCCGCGGCGCCGGAGGACGTGAGTGCCCCCTCCCCGCCCGGCAAACTTTCTCGGGGAGCCCGGGGGTAAAGCCACCCTCGTCTCGCCCCCCGCCGGGCAACTTGGAGGTTTCAAGGTGACGCGGGAGCGCCCCGGATTGGCCGGGTCCCGGCGGGCAGGAGGAGGCGGAGGGACCGGTCCCCCGAAACGCGCGCGCACCGCCTCCCCCGCTCGGGCTCCCGCGGCTTCCCCGCGGGACGCAGCCCCGCCGCTGCACCGCGGAACTGTCGCGGCCGGAGCCCCCTCCCCGCCGCTGGTGCAGTGCCCGGGACACGGCGTTTTCCCGCAGAGGCGACCGCGTCACAGCAGTGACTCCCCCTCCCCTCACGCCCGCGACTTGCGGGCTTGGGAGCTGGGGAAGGAGCGGACGCCGCAGAGTCCCTATCCCTGGCGGTGCAGGCCGGTTTGGCGACCCCCTCCTCCTCTCCGGGATTAGCTCCTGCCCCGCACCTGCCTTGTCACTGATTGAAATTCAAGCCGGCCCGCGTCCCTGACCCCGGCCGGAGCTGGGAGGGCTTTGCTCCCGGAGCGGGGTCCGGGAGTCCCAGACCGCGGTTGTGCCAGGGAACGGTCCCCTGCGCGCGCGCGCGAGGGGCTTTCCTGAGGGCTTCCCAGCCGTCTGCTGCTCGGGTCTCCATCCCTCCGGTCCTGCGGGCCGGCCCTGGGAACTGGAGTTTCTTGGGTTAACCTCCCGGGGCTAATCTACAAATAGGGGCGAAAACCCAGGCAGACACCCTGCCCTGCCCACCCCTCCCTCAGGGTGGGGAGATGGTAATGAAACTAGGCCCCCAACCCACACAACCAAAGCGGGAAAGTCTGAATGGGGCTGGGGGGAGTTTACGATCTTCTCTTTTTGGCGTCTGCGGTTAAATCTATCACTTCTCTCTGGCCCTAAACAGCCCTGGTAGAATCTGATGTAGTCACCACTTAGACTCATCCTTGGAAGAGAATGGGTGGGCTTCAATGCATTCGGCACCCCGCCCCCCAACAAAAAGCAAAAATCCCCGAAAATCTGCAGGCAAAATGTTAGTGTTTATGCAGAGATGAGTTCTCTTGTAGCGGTCTCTGGCCCCCAGCAGGTGAGACCCACTGCGGCAGGGTCTGATGAAATTGCACTTGGCCATGCTCTTCCAGGCCTGGAAGTAGCTGTGGACATAAGCTTTAGGCAGCAGAAATTATTAGAGGCGCTTGGACATAGTTGGACGGCTTTATTTAGTAATTGTTGAGAATCACTTGTTCTGCCAGTTCCAGAACCAGCAACACCCACCTTGCTGCCTCCGCCCCCACCCCCACCCCATCCCTTACTGTGAGTTTCCTCCCTCTGTTCGGTGTGGACTCTTTGGGGAGCTCCTCCCAGGGTTTCCCTGCTCTCCTGTGGCCAGTCCCTGATTTTGGTCATGACTCCGGGGCAGCCGCTGGGAGGCTATGTCAGAAACATTAGAGGACTACAGAGACCTTGGTGATAAGTGTGTCTTTCTTTCTCTCCTCTTCCTCCTCTCCTGTATGGCCTCCCTCTCTGCCAGCACTGGAAAGTCCTGTTTGATCAGGTATGTGAGTAGTTAACCCCCCACTTCCTTCCAGCCCTCCCTGAAATCGGTCTCAGTCTCCCTGCTTGCGTGGGCTTCCCTAGCTCTGTGCTCCTGAGATGGTGACGTGGGGTGGGGGTGTGGCTTCGTGCATCTCTGGGGCTGAACGGCACTGCTCTCCAGGTATCAGGAGGAAGAGATGGGCTCCCCTGAGAGGATCTCCCTCCCGCCTCCTTCCTATTCTGCTGCACCAGAGCCGGGTTCACACCATATGAAATTGGACGTTATACATTGTATACCTGGGAAATCCTCCGTATGCCTGAGGATTGCAGTAGGTGGCTGGAGAGGTGGGGGAAGGGCTTGGGCTGACAATCCCTCTCCCTTTCTACCTCCACTGTCGAGGGTCCATGACCACCACTGAAGTCAAATCTCTGCCATCCTTGGGGGATGACACAATATGGACCCTTTTGAAGCCTGATTCAATTTCTTCAATTCTGTCATAGGGATGGGGGAGTGCTGGGACGTTCCAGAGGGGAAATCGTATGTGATTCTTTGCAATGCCTGGAGTCTAGGTGTAGGGAGTGGAGTTGGGGGTGCCAAGTATTGGCTTTTGGATCTGGAGATGGACGATTGACCTTCAGCAGGGAAATGGCTCTCTCCTCTTTGCTTAGCGTTTGAAGTGGGTGCTGTTGTGTGCTTTCTTCTCCGTTTGCCCAGTGTTGGGGGATAGTGAGTGTTGTGGCCTTTGGGTGAGATTGATTGCACCATGAAGTTTGTGCAACTTTAAGAAATTGGTGTGAGTGGGCCAGAGGGAATGTGTTGGATTGGAGGAGATAAAGCTGAAAATTAGCTTGAACCAGGTCTTCATTGTAGGCAGGGGAAGCCCTAGAAAGTTTTTTAGCAGAGTTGCTACATGATCCAAGCCAGGCTTTGGAAAGCTCCATTGTCCTAGGGGTGAGGGGTGAGTGGGTGGCAGGGATGAGGGAAGCTGGGGAGGAGCTGCAGCGCTGAACAGAGGCAAGAAGGTGACAGTGAGGATGGACGGGAAGAGGGACATGGTGTTGGAAGAATCGGAGGATCTTAATAGGCCTACATAGATGAGAGGAACCACATTTCTAACTTCGAGTTTCTGAACCTAGGAGGAAAAGAAAAAGTCAGAGTGGGGCCAGGTTCGGTGACTCACCGAACCTCCCATATTTTGGGAGGCTGAGCGGGGAGGATCACTTCGATCACTTCAGCCCAGTAGTTCAAGACCAGCCTGGGCAACAAAGTAAGACCTCATCTCTACAAAAAAATTAAAAAAAAAACTAGCCAGGCATAGTAGTACACTCCTGTGGTTCCAGCTGCATGGAAGACTGAGGCAGGAGGATCGCTTGAGCCCAGGAAGTCCAACTCTTGTGACAGAGTGGGACCCTATCTCAAAACAAACAAACAAAAAAAAAACAAGTTGGAAGTGGGAGAGAGGTTGGCAAGAATGACAACTTTGGTTTGAGACAAGTTCAGTTAGAGGAGCCAGCTGGTTCCAGATGCCCCAGTGGGAGTGGAGACTGGGAATTGCAGTGTGAAAGGCCTGGGGCGAGGATCGGGGGTTATGATCCATATCAACCACGAGGCCTGGCTGTGGTTTGAAGTTCAAAGCATGCACCAGCTCCTGTCCTGACGGGTAGAGCATCTCTCCCTCTAGCTCCTAAGAGTACAGCAGCTGCTGGCCTGACGCCCCGAGGCAGGAGGGAACCCGCTGCGCCACTGCCACCACTACCACCAAGCTGCCAGCCCTTCACACCTCCTGCCAGATTTAGAATCAGAACCTAGAACAAAGTGTATCATTCTTTTTTTTCCTCTGTCTGTGTCTATCTTTCTCATTTGATTAATTTCCTTTGCCAGTCCCTGTGTGTATGTGTACATTTTGAAACAAACCATTTGGGTGAAAGAAAGAGAGCTTTTAGTAGGAAGAATTTGGAACTCAAGGGAGCAGAAAGAATGTGTAGCACCTAATATTAGCTACTGGTCTATGAAATCCAATTTTTTCAACTGAAGGTAGGTCCTGGTTGTCACAGAGAGCATACTCCTGCTTCTGGGAGGCCTGCCTAGAAATCATTCTGGACAAAGAAAATTCATTCTAGGAAAGAAATTAGGCCAGGCGCAGTGGCTAATGTCTGTAATCCCAGCATTTTGGGAGGCTGAGACAGGAGGATGGCCTCCCAAAAAGTGAGACGCTCAGAAAAAAAAAAAGTAAGCAACCCTGATAGGTCAAACTGCAGTCATGGATGGGACATGACACCCATCAGAGTCCCTGTGAGCACATGTGGCTCTGGAGTTCACCTTCCAGAAATCAATGGCATGGGAGGCTGGAACCAGTCAGGCATCTCCTCCCTTCCTTCTTGGGTCAGTCAGACACCATGGTCACCCAGTTTCAAACTGGCATCTGCTAGGATCTGTTTTCCAGGAGTTAGGGATGGATTGGACCAGTGTCCCTCCATACTGTCTGGTTCTTCAGCATGTGGAGTAGCCTTGATCTAGCATGACGCCAACTGGACCCAAAGGGCTAGAAGCCATGACGTTGGTCTTGTTGGTTCTATGTGGTCATTGTTAAACTAAATGGCCAGGATGCCTTTTGTGGGAATTGGAGGTGAAGAAAGCAGGTGACCCCAGATCCGTGGAAGCTTCCACGTCCCTCTCCCTGGCATTCTGGTATTTGGCCTGCTCAAGCAGGGGTGTAGTGGGGCCAGTCTATGCCATGCCTCCTCACTGCCCCCACTTCTGCCCCATGGGTCCCAGAAGTTAAAGCAGGCAATAGACCTGAAGGTCATCTGTTTAACCCACTATGTTCCAATGTTCCATGTATTCATTTCCTATTCAAACTTCTTTTTTTTTTTTTTTTTTTTTTTGAGACAGAGTTTCGCTCTTGTTACCCAGGCTGGAGTGCAATGGCGCGATCTCGGCTCACCGCAACCTCCGCCTCCTGGGTTCAGGCAATTCTCCTGCCTCAGCCTGCTGAGTAGCTGGGATTACAGGCACGTGCCACCATGCCCAGCTAATTTTTTGTATTTTTAGTAGAGATGGGGTTTTACCATGTTGACCAGGATGGTCTCGATCTCTCGACCTTGTGATCCACCCGCCTCGGCCTCCCAAAGTGCTGGGATTACAGGCGTGAGCCACTGCGCCCAGCCTCAAACTTCTTAAGGGAATTGTCTTTTCATATTTTGGGGATCTTGATGGTTTTCCTAAATATTTCAATAGATTTAAAATTTACTGCCAGGTGTGATGGCTCACTCCTGTAATCCCAGCACTTTGGGAGGCCGAGGGAGGTGGATCACTTGAGGTTGGGAGTTTGAGACCAGCCTGACCAACATGGGGAAACCCCATCTCTACTAAAAATACAAAGTTAGCTAGGCGTGGTGGCGCATGCCTGTAATCCCAGCTATTCGGGAGGCTGAGGCAGGAGAATCACTTCAACCTGGGAGGCGGACGTTGCGGTGAGCCTAGATCAGGCCATTGCACTCCAGCCTGGGCGACAAGAGTGAAAAAACTCTGTCTCAAAAAAAGAAAAATCATAAATATTAGTCTGTTATAGTATAATATCATAGTAAAGATGTCTTATTTTTCTGACCAGGTGCTCACACCTGTAATCCCAACACTTTGGGAAGCCAAGGTGGGCAGATCGCTTGAGCCCAGGAGTTCAAGACCAGCCTGGGCAACATAGTGAGACCCCATATCTATTTCTTAAAAGTTAAAAAAGGATTTTTTTTTTTTTTGAGAAGGAGTTTCGCTCTTGCTACCCAGGCTGGAGTGCAATGGCGCGATCTCGGCTCACCGCAACCTCTGCCTCCTGGGTTCAGGCAATTCTCCTGCCTCAGCCTCCTGAGTAGCTGGGATTAAAGGCACGCCCCACCAGGCCCAGCTAATTTTTTTGTATTTTTAGTAGAGAAGGGGTTTCACCATGTTGACCAAGATGGTCTCGATCTCTTAACCTTGTGATCCACCTGCCTCGGCCTCCCAAAGTGCTGGGATTACAGGCTTGAGCCACCGCACCCGGCCCAAAAAAGAAATTTTTAAAGAAAAAAGGTCCTATTTTCTGTGGAATCTGTTGAACTCCTTCATGATTCCTTCTGTTGCCTCAGATCTGAGATAGTTTCCATCCCTCCCCAGATCTCATAAGCGTGCCCTTCTCTTTCCTACTACTTTTTCTGGTTAAAAAAATCATATAACCTTGCAATCCATCTGCATCTGATTCCTATCCAGCTATGCTAGCATCATTTATTAAGTAAGCCTCTATATACATTGTTTGAGAAATGTTATCATTTGATAAATTTTTGTGTGTGGTTGGGTTTATTTTTTATTCCTGATCTATGCCACTGAGATGAATATTTTGCCCAGGTAATGTTCCCTTTAGTTATCACTTTCTATCTGTTCCATGGGTTTCTGACAAGCTTCCCTTTTTCGGGTTATGCTTTGATAGTCTTATTCTCAGTCCCTTCCTGAATCCCAGGTAGCTTTGATATGAGGTCAAACATTTAGTCAAAGGCCAAATAGCGGGGCAGTGGCAGATGTGGGACTGGAGCCTAATTAACCCACAAAGGGTTTCTTGAGTTGGAAAAGTCATTTCCAGGTTTACCCTTAAAAATGCCTCCAAGATCTCCAAATGTTATTGAACAAAAGGGTTTGGAGCAGAGTTCTGTTAAGTCAACAAAGCACGATTGCTTTCAAGCTCAAAAGAACAAGAGGGAAAAAGCAGAATTGAAAGTAACTTGACTGTCTTCCTTTTTCCCTTCTCACTGGAGAGCCTGTATTTCCTAGACCCCTGAAAGAGACCCCAACCTTGCTAATCTTCCAGAAGGAAAGCAGACAAGTATTGACTATCCTACCAAAATTATAAATATGTGCTATTGTGAACAGAAGCCGTGTGGCCACTTCTGTTGGTGGGCTGCTTGGGACGACAGAGCCTTGGATTTGGAGTCAGATAGACCTGGGTTCAGGTCTTACTCACTTTGTGATTGGAGGTAATTACATTAGTTCTCTGA